CTCTTGCAACATACTCTCTCACATCTTTCACAATTTCTATCCTTATCCCAATAAAATAATCGAACGAAAAAAAAAAAAAAAAAAAAAAAAAAAAAAACATAACGTGTGATCGATCATCTTTCTCTAGCGTTCATACGTTTTTCTTTTCACTCGAAGGTTCCGTGGAAAAACTAGTCACAGAACGAAATCTAATGACACCCCGACCGTCACTAATGACGCTAACGAGCTAGTTAGATGTTAGAGCGAATGTCGGTGGGCTCGGACCCTGCGCCAAGTGAACCCACTTACCGACTTATCACGTAGTTACCTAATCTGTTTATCCCAACGGGGGAGACGAGGGTGGGACGCCAACCAGGGCCAGCTGGAAGGGTGCACGGACGTCCCTGAGGACGCTCCTTCCCCGTCCCCTTTTGCACGAGAGATCATCTAGCGGGCGTCGTTTTGACGCACATGTGTCGTGGAAATTACGCGTCTTCAGTTTTACAAAACACGAAGACGAACGTGGTGCGTGTTTACTGACAGCGTGGGATATCTGGCGGACGTTCGACGTGAAAAGTTCAAAAAGGGGGTTGCGACTGATTTTTCAGCCCAGTTTGATTTTTATCGAAGACCACCTTTTTGTGGAATGGAAAGAAATTGAAGAGAATGTTCCACTTTTTTTTTTGCAATAGTTAAATTAGAATCGAAGATCTTTAAAATTTTTGAATTTTTGTGTAAAATATTTTAGTGTATTTATGATTTTTATATTTTAAGGACGATGCGATGTTTAATTTTTGGACAAAGAGTGATAAGGATTTTAGAGGTTTTGTTAGACACAAAGAGAAGTTATTTTGAATTTCTTTGGAGAAGTTAATGTTCACACTTTTCTCAACTTGATGTGCTAAAAATGATCAAATTTTTTATTATTTTCTCGGTGTACGAAAATAAGTTTTCCGTTATTTATAATGCTATAATCTTAAGCTTTTGTCATAATAGAAAGGATAACGCAACGTGGAAAGTGACGGAAAATAATTTTAAAAAGTTGCACTTGCTCGAGGATTTGTTGCGTACGTGTGAGACAAGAGCATGGGCATTAAAGGGTTAAAAGAACGTAAAATGGCAAGCAGGAAATATGAATTTTACATTCTTGAGAAACATTTATGCAACGAAATCTGATGAATTTTATTTACATTTAGAGAAATGTGGAGATTTTCTTAATTTAGTATTATCTTGATGCCATAAAAATGATTCTAAACGATAATGTTCTGCACTTTTTAACTCTTTTTAACAATATCTAACTTTCTGCTAAGGTGGGAACAATTTTTGCAACTTTAAAAATATCTTTAAAAAATTTTGAATTAATTAAAACAGACTTTCAGACTAAAAACTCCAAGGAAATGCAACATACTGATGTGTATTTAAACATGCATGATAATGTGACCAATTTTGCCATTTCTTTCATAAAAAAAAATAATGTGACCAATTTTGCCATTTCTTTCATAAAAAAAAAATCCGCCCTTTGTAACCATTTAAATTACGCATAAAAATGTTCTCGTACCACCATAACTAAATAAAAAAGATAATTAAATGACCTGTTTTTTACATGGACCGCCCTGTATATATCCTACAAAATCTCTCGTCTCGTGAACGAATTTTCGTTTCTAAAGTATCGAGGAAAAAACAAAAAAAAAGGAAGTGAACTTTCTTTCGAGGAATCCTTCGTATTTTTCGTCGCGTTCTAATCGACGATAAACGCGCGTACAAATTTCACTTGATATTAAGTGAAGAGGTACGGTGAACGCCGGCGATAAAGGGAATGATAAATGCGCATTAAAAACATAATTTCACTTTGCGCCAGGGAAATCAATATTTTATTTAAACTATATTTCGGGCCTAGATGGAAGGGCACTTACACACGTCCCTGAGGATACCGTATCTCTCCTCCCTCCTACACCTACGGTCCCCATTCGATTATCTACCTACCACATGTATCTCATTGAGGTTCATAATATGCAATAAAGTGAGTATATGCATCGTGACCTGAAGAACCATGCCCGGTAATGTACGAAAAAAAAGAACATAATGGAATTCCCCTTTGTTGCTCCTTTAATTCCTTATAAAGTTTGGAGAAAAGAGGGGTTTATGTTGTGTTTGATATTGGATAATGTTTCTGATACTTGATCAACGGTTTTTTTTTTTATAGGAATTGGGAAGAAAACTGTTTGACTGTATTGTGAATTTAATCCTACCTCGTAGCGCGTACTTTCGTTTGAATATAGGTTTAAGGTGCTTGGGTCAAAAGAGACCCGAAGACTTTATGCGTAAAACTTTTCATTACCAGTTTGCCATATGAATCTAGATAATAAGTTTTTAATATAATGTTAGGGGAATATAAATTTGATAACGTAAAGGGTGACCGAAAATAAAAAATTTCTCAAAATAGAAATTAAAATTGAAAAGAAAGTGACATTTTTCACGTGTCAAATTATAAAATGTTAAATTTGAAAATCCAAGGTTAAATTTAAACAAAATTAAGTATAATATTAACTATGAAAGAAGTCCCATAGGAAAATACTTTTCGTCCACAGAAATTGAATATTAATTCTCACATAAAGGGTGACCGAAAACAAAAATTTTCAAAAATAGAAATTAAAATTCAACGTGCAAAAGAAAATTACATTTGTCACATGTCAAATTATCGAACGTTGAATTAAAAAATCCAAGGTTAAGTATAAACCAAATTAAGTATAGTAACCGTTATAAAATGTCCCACAGAAAAGTACATTTCCCGACGGTCGAAAAGTTCAAGTGAAATCAGGGTCGACCAGTACTTTTCTCAAATTTCAACTCGACGTTATTGTTCGAGGCAAGAGATATCCACAAACAGGAGTTAACGTGCACAACAGAAACGAGATTCGACTTGGAAAACGATCGGTGAATAGGCAAACTGGCGTCGAAGTTCTGAAGAGCGACTCGGCACCGCCGTCGGGACGCGGTTTAACCGGAAGTTGCTTCGAAGTGCAAATTAAGTTTAGCGGCCGTCCAGTTTGTAGCGTCCATTTTGCGTAACTCGGTCTACTCGGTAATGTAACTTCATCGATGTGTTCCGCCAGAGCAAGTGCCGGTACAATCAATCTCCCTTTTCTCTCTTCCTCCTGCTTTTCCTCGCCAACTACCGTCCACACACCTTTCTGCTCGATTTTATTTCATCCCACCGCGATCTCTATCCTCTTGATTTTCTAAATTTCCTATCCACGTATTTCTCTCTTCGTTCGATCGATAAAAATTATCATCGAATCACGTGTGTGCACTTCGAAAATATTGTCGTTTAAAATGTTTTTAATTTTTTATCGTTACTGATTGTGAGCGAAGCACAATATACGTTTTATCTGAATTTACGTAAGTTTTCCCATTGTTTCAATTGGCATAAGAAAGAATATCAATGCTAAAAATGATTTTAACAATATTAAAATTTTTAAAAAATTAATTCTTTCGTGACAAACATTTGTCTACCGCTATTATTTATCTGAAGCTTCCTTTTTTTTTTTATATTTTTGTGTGATTTATGTTATATACACTATTTATTTGGTGCCTTAATTTTGGAGTCAAATTGTCATAAAAATTACGGTTTTAATTGTTACGCAATGAAACCTGCAGGAACTGAATTAGTAGAAAGACAAGACAAAGGAAATTGGGTGAGAAGTAAAAGCGAAGTTAAAATACAAAATTTGAGCCATAGAAACTAAACGGAAAAGTTCGGGTAACATTGAAGTAAAAATTATTCATTACAGGAAAATAAGAAAATATTAAAATAATTATAAGGAAATAAAATAAATCCTATTTTCATATTTATTTATTCCTTCAAAAACTCGTTCCTTAACACTGCACGTAATAAATGACTATTAAAAATGTATAAAATATTTTGTACTGATACTTAAACCTTAAATGGATACTTCCATCGTCGTTTGTAATTCTTGTTATGTCAAGGGTGATTTGAGAAATTGAATTGACGTTCCTTCATGATACAGCTCGGTTTAAAATCTACCCTCGTGCCAGCTAGAGTGAAATTGCGGAAGGATAGTAAGGGGGGGAAATAGATGAAAAAATGCAAGATTATGGGCGGAATCAAATTTTTCTTACGGGAGTAAATCGGGACGGAACAGTACTCCAGGGACATTCGTAATCATGTCGCCGGAAGCTACGGGGAAAAGTTGATATTACGTATAACGTGTTTGTAGACTCGATTATTATACTGTGTAATATTTAGTGGAATCCTTTATTTCACATTCTTCGTAACCATAATTCCCTATACTTTACTTGACGTTTAACATTCTCCATTGATAATAACTATAGTTTAGCAATTTTCTCTCCATTTTAGAAGAACGCATGAAAAGAAGGAGTTCAAATTATAAATTGAACGATTCTTGTAACGTATTGAAAACTTTTCCTGCAATAAACACTTTTACACTAAAATTTCAAGAAAATGTGCGATTCTTCATATATTCACCATTTCTATAAAACTCAATATTTTCCAAAAATCCTTCGTACTTCGTTAGTAACTATCATACAGATAAAGAAAATTGTTGACATTTTGCTCCAAGTCAAACCGTGTAGAAGCAGGGGGCAACATCGTGAGGTACCCATCGAAAACGGAGGTTCACCGATGCGGCTGTAGCGCCGCCATTTTGCAAAGAAATTAAATAAAAAAAATACCTTTACATTCCCAAAGAGTAATGCAATAAAACCCACCTAAAATTTTTTCGATAGAGTGAAATACTTTCTCAAAAAAAAATGTCGAAGTTAGGTATCATTTTCACGTCCCTAGGGGGGTCTAATCCCTCAAGAGCGTAGGTAATTGAATGTGCAAGTTAACCAAAATTCCATCGAAAAGCATCCTGTCACTATTGACAATTTCGTAGACAGACGCAACCGGACAGATCCATCGAAAGGCAAATTTTTCTCAAATTTGAATTACAACCCCTTCGGCAAGACAGCCAGAAACAAATAGAATATCTACTTACAAGGGTGAGTGGCGGCGAATGGGTACTCGAGGGTTGGTGGTAATCGTGGTGTTGGGAGACCCGGGGGGCAGTGGTAGCAGAACATGCCACCAGGTCTGGCCACCGTCCCACCCCCCGGCCCTCCACCCCCTCCTGCCCCAGGCACCTGCGGCTGACTCGACTGCTGCTGCTGCTGTTGTTGCTGCTGTTGCTGCTGCTGTTGCTGTTGCTGCTGATGCGTGTGATGGTGGTTATTGTTCGGCTGGTGAGTATGAACTGATCCAATCTGTGAGCAGAGAGAAAGAGACGTTTTCTTGCGTAAGTCGCGAATCATTATTCTGGGAATGTGAATTGGAGGCTGTCACGAAGTGCACTATCGTGGGTATTTCCGAATGATTTATCGGAAGAAGAGAAATTGTGTAATTAACGGTTGACGGTGGTAATTGTTTCTTGGTATGGTTAATCCAGGAGCGGACTAATGGTGAAAATAGTGGGTACAATGTGAAGATGAAATTGGGAAAAATTAATTTTTGTCAGTGAGATAGTTTTTGGTTGTAAGTGTAGAATGTTTAATGCGGTTTTGAAATGAAGTTTCATCGTTTTGTAATGTATGATTAGGTTATAAAAATAATCGATACGAATTGCACTTGAAAGCAGTTTCGTGTGAAAATATTTCTTCCAAAAATATCTAAATTATTTCTAAAAATATGTTTTTTTTTTAAATGTCTTAAAGTGTGTAATATGTATCTGTTTGAAATTATTTCCGATACCTCGCGTTTCTTTACATTTTTTACTTCATTTCTGCTGCAGCATTGCAAACAAGGTTACGTGAAGTATAATTTAAACGTAGTTTCATTAGGAAAGGTAGGTATATTTAATACCTCTTGAGATAACTTCTCGTTAATCAGGTTGTTATAATTCCATTATATTTATCAAAGTGCAAAGTACATGTAATTTATACAGAGCACTTCTGTATAAACAATTATCAAGGCAAAGTAAGTTGAGCTTTCCTATTAAAATGTTAACCTGGTTGTAGATTTTAACTATTCAATTACCGTTCGTAACGTTGTAGAGAAAGTCAGACTATCCACTTACATACACGAAGTAATTATTCATTAAATTGGTTCTTATTATGTAAGTATACGAATAATAATGACAATATTGTGGAAGTAATTGTTTTTCCCTTTATAATTAAAGTTACATATTGCAATTAATGCAAAAATTCAATTATATTAGCCCTTTTTACGGCAAATTTGGAAAAGATAATAGATCAAATATATAGGGTGGTGCAAAAACAATGTCCATCTAGAATATTTCTGTTTGTAATAATATAGAAAAATGTTACACACAAAATTTGCATGATACGAAGGAGGACATAATCTGATGCAAATATCTTTCAAGTGGAGGAGATTTCAAGGTCACCTCTTTTCTAGAAGTGCATACTGGAATACTGCTTCCAAATAAATTTGTTTAAACGAATTTTTTGCATCCAAACTTGCTAACTAATAAACGTTCTCTACACTGTGTTCCCTATATTTATTGCAAGAAAATTTGTTAATTTAAAGCACAATAGAATCAATCAAATTCAATCTTGCACCCTCGATACATTTCCATTAATTTAATAACAAAAATCACTAAAACTTGAAATATTTAATCACCATTTACCATTTAGTCACTATTCAGTCTTAAACGAATCAATATCACACATGGAACGCTCAACCGTTACATAGGGAACCCAAATGTCCTGCATACATTTTTATTTTTAAACATCGACGTGAAGATGTTCAAAAACTGCAAATCCAGAGCAATTTTACGATATTTTCACAAGATCACAAAAAATTGTTAAAGAAAAACGCAAAAATGGGTATCTACTCAGTTGCCCCCACAAGGGTTAAACAAAGAAAAAAAGAAACCTAACACACCCGAGTCGTCGTAGTTTACAAATTGAGCAAACCCAACACACACCGAATACCAAGCCTCACATCTTGATATTCCCCCGTCTTCTGGAAAACGCGAAGATGTGGCGCTCTCAAACGGCTCCACGGCAGCATCGAAATCACCCCCGAAATTCCATTTGCGATCCCTCGGAACGAAGGCCGCGTGCATACGTAAAGCGAAACCCAAGCCGGTAATCCGTCGTCGTGGAAGGTCAGGCAGCCGAAACGAAAATTGGCTAAATTTCGTTAAGTTTGGCAGCAATTACTTTTGATACCCGACACGCGGCCGTAATTGCGTTGGCCCAAGCAGAAGCGGCCGCGCGGGCGCTGGCGTGCGCGCGCGCGCGCGACAGAGAGGGGTAATAATTCGCTAATATCAATTTCAAATTTCAATTAGTATCATCTCGACGTCTACTACCAGCCCCTCTCCTCTCCCCGTTCACTCTCTCTCTCTCTCTCTTTCTCTCCCTCTTCGTTGCTTCTCTCATGGACCCCAGAAGAGCACGGCATGATCTAAAATTCAATTTGTCCCTTGTAGCAGAGCCGCAAATGGCGAAGGAGCAACAAAGCCAGCCAGAAACTGTGCAAGTGAAACAGAACGTTCGTGAGGGAAGGAAAGAGGGGTAGTTGTGGCAATGGGTGGTGGTGGTGGTAGGAAGCAAGCAACGTGGACTCGCATAGAGACGGGGGATACACGGAGTTTAAAGCTTGCTAGCGTAGTACACGCCGTTATGCAACCAGAGATACGGCCCTGTAGGCACGCACATGCGCGACACGCCGACCCATTATAAATTGATAGCCCCGCCATTTATTAAGTTCCACCGACCGATGGCTGCTTAGGCAAAGAGCCCTCCACGCTCCTCGCCGATACGTGCATTATTTATTTACGTGAGTTTACAATCCCTTTAATGGGGATCGGCGTAATCGGCCGCCCATACGCCTCTCCTCCTCCTTCCTCCCTTTACTCTTCTTCTCCTCCACTTCCTCCTGCTTCTCTAGCTTCTCGAGCTGTGAGCGCAACGGTTCCTGCACCCCTGTCGCGTTTCCTCTTAATCGTGTTTCACCCCGCTTTTGAAAATCCACGTGTCGCTCGGGGAAATCGGAAGTAGCCCAGGTTATCCAAGTGTTCCTGACGAGGGGCGATAGATGTGACGGGTTGGTCAAGGAACGTCGAGGCTGGCTGGTTTGGTATGGGACAAGCGATTGCGGAGAGGTGTTCCCGTGTCAAGTAGGTGAGAATAAGAGTGTGCTTTGTTTTGGAGTGCATTTGGGAGTTGGTATCAGACGGATTGTACGACACAGTAATTTCTATGAAGAATAAGATCGAATAATTAATGTACATCTGTACGAAATGAAAGGACTTCGTTGAATTCGTCTCGAAAAGCGCCACCATGGTGCAAATAAAGAAATACAGGTTTCCATTTGAAAGAATCAACTTGACTTCGATATCTCCCCCACTACTGCACCTACAGAAAAATTGTTTATACCACTTAATGTGTTCCTTTATGCTAAATAACTTTTGCAGGAATATTGTTTTTGATAGCTTCAATCCCTCGTGAGATATTCCATCGTTCTCGTTTAAATGTAGCACCCTGTATGTACAGGGTGTAGTATTGTTGTAACTTTTTAACAAAGCTTCAAACGACCTATGTTCATATAACATTTTTTTCTCACTTATGCCTGTAGAAGGTGCTGACAAAGTTTAGTCGGAACGAACTGGGACACCCGGTATGTAACATAGAATGTCCGTCCGTGGAACAATTAACTCCTAATCCCTTTGATCGATCTGAACCAAATTTTGCATAATTACTCTACAGAAGCGAACCCTACGGAAAATATAGGCTACCATGAAACCTGGACACCCAATTCCCTCCCTCTGATTTTATTCTCTCGACACTTTGCGAGAATTTAAGTTTAGGGCATTGTTACGTAGGTACGCATTGTGTAACGAAGCCACAATTTTTCGGCCGTGTTACATGGGTGTCTATTGTGTGTCAGTTATAAATAAAGTCGTGGTATTTATCTCTGAAAATTTTCCAAAAGGAATTTCATTTTTCTACACCTCAACTGTTAACTTTATCCCGTGAATCTTTAAATAGAATCATTTTCAGCAAAATCTTAATTCCTCTTTCCTTTCAATCCCACGTAAATATGAAACTTCTGTCTTAAATAAAACAATCGACATGCTTAAAATCCTCCGAGCCGCTCATTTTCCAACTCCACGAAGCAAAAAGTAGAGAAAATTATATTTAATTCGAAAATTACTTAGCTAAATTCTTATAAAACTTCTGAAATAAATTATTTATTACTCAACGCCCGTAAAAATTCTGTCATTTAGTGGTATTAAGCCTAATTACTAAGAAAACGTATTTCAAATACAAAAGGACAAGGATCGATCAAATACATTGGCATTAAAAATTTAAAAAAATTCAGAAAGTAGATTTAACCACTTTATCCTCTCTCTTCCTATCAATTTCCCTCCCATCACAAGCAATCTCAAGCAAAACCAAAAAAAGAATGGTCAGAGACACGTGTAGAAAAGGGTTTCTCGTCCCTTCTGCGTCCCATGTTCCAACATTAAACGTCGTGAACCAGTGACACCATTAAACGGATCAGCCGATTAGTCGCAGGTAGAAAGAATCGAATCACCCCATGCCGATACCCCTCGACAACCCCTGCAGCCACCATTCGTTGGGTTAGAAGCGTAATGACGGAACATACGCGCCGACAGAAGGGACGAAATGTAGCGAGGCTAATCCGTGATGGGTGCCCCAGGGTGTCCCCTGAGCTTCTTACACCGCGGCAGGTCCTTCGAAAGAGTACATATATACTTGGGGCTCTCCCTCGAAAATAAACCTGCATGCGGTCCAGGGGTGTATTTGCGGTGTTCAACCATTCGGGTGAAACATTATGCCAGTGTTTTATTGTGCGATCATCCAAACTGCACCCTATTCTGTAACGCATAAGGGATTGCGGCTTCGAGTGGAGAGTGTGTTTACACATCGGCACACGCACTGGATTTGTTACACGCTCGTTATGTTACATCGAGTTCTTGTTGCCAGTTAACGGCGTTCCATGGGTGTATATATATATATGTATATAGTCTACATAGGTGACAATTCGATTCGAATCAACGTGGTTCCTGTAATTCTCTGGTAATCGCGTTCGATGGTTCGACGAAAGGGTAACGGGTGGTGCTTTA